GGCCCCCAGTGACTTCCACCTTTTTCCAAATTTAAAATAATTCTTGGTTGGAAAGAGATTCCACTCAAATGACAAAGTCATCTCTGAAGTAAACGAGTATTTTGCACACCTTGACAAATCGACCTATTGTGATGGCATAAAAAAGCTAGAACATCGCTGGAATAAGTGCATTGCTAACAAAGGAGACTACATTGAAAAATAAAAAAAGTTTTAACATTATTTTGTTTGTTGTTCTATTTGAGGTCGCGAACTTTCCGAACAGCCCTCGTAAATTATAATTAGAATTACAGAATTAATTATAACTAGATTATAATTAATTCTGTAAGTTGTGAGGTAGTTGTTGTCATTGTTTTCAAGTTTGTACTTGTATTGTTTGGAAAGTATATAAAAAATATAGTACTGCTCTTTCTCCCTAACTCTCTAAAACAGTTAACTCATTTTTCAGGGTGATCAATATTTAAAAAATGCACATTATTTTTGGGAAAAAATTAAGTGCAAAAAAATCTAAAAAGCAGTTACTAAAGATTTTACTTGCATGAGAAGAATAAAAATTAGTTTCTAAAAGCAATTATTCTTATATTGTCTATAAAAATAATTTTTTAATAAAAAATGAAAAATTCAATGTTAGATTAACTTGATGATAGTGTGAGAATACGTGTGAAGGTATTGTACCTTCTAATTGTCGAGTCATAACACTTGCTCACTGTTGTCGAAGGATCGCTAATTATGTTTATCGCAAGGATCGAGAAATCCTTGTAATTATCAGGACCTGACACCAGTTAGGATAGGAATGGCGCATCCTAACTTGCAATAAGAGTTGTAAAATAAATCTAAGAAGGAGTGCTAATTATCAATGAGTGGGAAGAATTGCGGGTAAGTCATAGGTGTCAATTGAAGGAATAGACAAATTGAGTAACAAAACAAATAAAATTTAATATATCTATATATTATACAAAGAAATTGACTTAAGTATAAATGAAAACTAAATAAGCTAAAAACATCTTAAAATTAACCCTAGAGAAGAGAGAGTTAATAATATTTAATAACACCTCTATGATAAGTCCAATCTTGAACTTTTATAACAATATGTTGAGTATACGTTAGGCCAGGGGTGGCCAACAGTTTTTGCCCTGGACCGAATTGGAAAGAAAACTTTTTTCATGGGCTGAACCGGAAGCTGCCCTAGGAAGATTTTGAGGTGGTGCGAGATCTCATTGTGGTGTCACCTCATAGAGACTAAATTGTACAAGAGATTACAGATACATTTTTCACATTATCATGCTTTATCAACATTCTACACTGTACTTAAGAGATTTGTAATGGCGGGTTNAAAATTTATTTGTTTGTAAGCCTAAAATAGATTCTTATTAAACATATATTATTAAAAATGCATTTATAAATAAAATACAGAACTGGGAAAGGTTATTTCTGGTTTAGCCTATTGACAAGTAGATTCGACTTAAGTGTCTCTCCTGGAACCAACTACCAACGTAAGGCGAGGTATACCTGTACTCATATTTTTCTTGCAGTTTGGTTTTCATTGTTTCTTTCTTTATAATGCAATATGAACAGTTCTGTTTTCAACTTTTTATCAAATTTATTAGATTAATTTCTTTAATATTGCTAATTTATATACACATTTTTTGTTATGTAAAATTTACATCAGAAATTCATGTTTTGTCAGTAATATCTGTATCTTTTATATTTTATATTTATCAGATTTTGTTATTTTCTTATCTCTAAACAGCTTTTACTTGGAATTCAATTTTTTTTGCTTATTCAAAGAACATTTTAAAAAGATTATTACTAACTCCCTCTTCAGTTCTTATTACTTAGTTCAGAATTAAACATACTATAAAATATAACTTTGTTGAAAGCATTTTGTTTGAATTTCAAATATTCAATCTTTTTAACATTTGGAAATTCAGAAATAGATGATTTTTTAAAATCAAATTTAATTGTAATCAAAATCATAAAAGTTTTTATTGAGTTTTTTTATAAGTTGTGAAATGAAAACTAGCCTAAAATAATTATTAATTATTAGTAGTATTAATCACAATAATAATAATAATATAAAGTAAAAATAAAATTAGAAATTTTAATATTTTAATTTTATAGTTTAGCAAATACCAGAAATTCTGTGGAAAAGAGTTTCCGTAACAATTTCAATTGTCCTGAAACTCTAATTTGCCTAAATGAATTAATGAGTGAAGTTAATAAACAGCTTAAAGTAAATAAATCAAATATGTACAAATCCAGAAGTCCTGGTGTTATTTCAGCTTGTTCATCTTTTGTAGCAAGAATACTTAATATTTTAGGCATTGAATATCCCAGCAAAAAGGTAAAATATTATTTTTTAAAATAAATACTATATTTTTCATAGTATCATAATTTCCTATGTATAAACTGCAGTGGTAGATAACCTACAAATACTGCTAGAATGCATAGCTTGAACCTACTTTCAAATTGACTTTAAAACACATAATCCACAGGTTATACACAGAGAATTGTGGTAAATAATTTTATATAATTAAAATTAAGCATGATTAAAGTGTCATGCAGTGGTACCTCATATTTTGAATGTTCCAGAGTTCAAATGCTAAATTTGAAACAAATTCAGTCTGGAGTTTGAACAGAGCTTCTATGATTGAACTACATGCACAGTGAAAAAATATGCTTGCTGCATAAATGCCATCTGTTGTGCACCCAAGTTGTCTCTAGCTCTCACTGTGAAAGCATCTCTTGCATTGCATTTGTGTGTTTTCAGTGCTTTTTTTCACTTTAGTTTTTGATGTGTTTAGTTATATATACAACCCCTACTTATTAATCATGGCATATAAGATGAGTCTGAAAGCAACAAAGCCTAAGAGGAATGTTGTTGTATCAATGATTGAGATAAAAAAGGAACTTATCATGAAGCATGAAAGCAGCACATGTAGTAGATCTGACAGCCATGTTTAAGATGCCAAAATCAATAGTGTTCAATCAATAAATGGAATTTTCATTTTATTATAGAATATTTACATATTTTATTTATTGTTTTTATGTTTTAATTTATTATTTAGGGCATTTAATTGTGTTACTTTTATCTTAAATTATGTGTGTTTCTTGGGCTGCAATTTGAAAAAATTGTAGACTATAAATTCCCACTGCTGTCTGTCTAACTGTTTGTATGTCCTTCCGTAATCTCGAGAACAGAGTTAGATAGATGAAAGCTGAGACCAGATATAGAAACCTTAGGGGAAGGAGACCTTGTAACTATATGCAAACATCTAATGTAAACCAGAAGTCACATTATTTCAATTCAGAAACTTTCAGTGAAAGGTGTTAGATTACCAAAATTACGCAATTGTTAAAAGAAAATATGATGTACAGGGGAAAGAAATACACTATTAATTTGAAGGTAGAGAGCATATATTTTAAATTAAATAAATTAAAAATATGATTAAAAATTGCAGCCAGCATTGTGATGATGTCACAATAAATATTTGTTTGTTATTTTTAAGTTTATCAAAATGGGTATTGTTTACAGTCTGGGAATGGATTTTTGTTTCTAAAAATTGATCCAGACTTTGAACAATTTAGAGTTTGAATGGTTTGCTGGAATGAATTAAATTTTGAATATGAGTCATCACTGTATTGTTTTTTTTATTAATTACTCAATAAACTTACACTTCAACCAACGTAGAGTAATATATCTGATGTGTTAATCATTAATTACTCAATTTCTGATTGATGATAATACTTACTCTTATATTTAATGATAAATACTCATTATCAGAATATTGAATATTTGTCATAAAATATAAATTAAGACTTAAAATATTTCATATGTTAATTAATTTTTTTTAAGTTTCACAAAATTTATCATCATTAAAATAATGTTACATTTTTAAAATTATATAAGTGAAAAACTTTAATTTATTTTTAATTACAAATTAATGGAATTTGTGTATCTAATAGGCACTAATAACTTCATCAGATGAAACAACAGCAATGCTTTCTCATGTTGTAGATGCACTAGTTAAATTCAGAAGCAATGTTCGTCTTTATGCTCTTACTACTGGTGAAAGTGCACAGCCTCAGTATAAAGCATATACTCAGGAAATAAACAGTAAGTTTCTTCATTATTATTTTTGAGGAAAATACATTTAGAGAATGAACTACTTTATTTTAAAACAATATAAAAGTCAATGAAAATGAAGTTTAGTACAGATCAGATTTTTTTAGCTGTAAATTTCATTTCAAAAAAATTATTAAATCTAGCCTTTTTTTAGTTTGGAATATTTTAAATGTTTTTTAATTTTCTTTTATATGTTAAACACATGGTTTTGTTCATTTTCATTTATTTATATTTTCTATTTTTGATTACTAAATAATCAGTCTAATAATTAAGTTATGAAGACAGATACAACTAATTCTGTTTAAAAATTAAATTTTTGATTTAAAGTTTAAATTGATTACTTATTAATTTAAGTAATGTTTCTGCAATTAGATATTTGTAATTTAAATGTAAGTGTGTTTAACAAACAATATAAAGTTTCTGCTTAATAAATGTTACAGAAATTTCAGATTTAGATTTCACTTACATGATTATTTGTTGAAAGACTATAGTTTTATTGATGATGAATGATAAGTTTAAATAAAAAATTCTATTTTAAGTAAATAATAATCTTATATTTAAAAAGTGTATATTTATAAATTGCATCTGCTATGACTGCAAGATGTTTGTCACTATCAAATATTTCCCATTTCATAGAACATTAAAAAAATAAGAGTGATTTCTACTAGTTACCATTACTCTTATCAGTTAAAAGAAATTAAAATCATTAATAAATTAATCAAAAATAGCAAATGTATTTTCTATATTACACTAAAATTAGAACATTAGTTTCCCACAGATTGTTCCATTATTGATTGTAAGATGTCAGCTATTCCAAAGATAAAATTAGATTTATTTCTTTTTTTTTTATTTTGAAAAATACTGTTTTTTATGGTTAGTTTAAAAACTAATTACATTTAAACTAATTAAATAAGGAGTTAATTGAATGTATTTGATAAAATTTTAACAAATTTATAGCAATTGTCATCATGGTGAATATTAGTAGAATAATCATGGGTTTGAGAATGGGACATGGAATTTTTTAAATATGGTGGTCACTGCTTATTGTGATCACATTGCTTCAAAACAGTTTTGATAATAATTATTTTGTAGCTGCCATCTTCTATGGCAACCAATGTACAGGGACATGTGTTGACTACAGCGCAAGTGATCAATCAGTTGATTGAAACCCACATAACAGTCTTGAAAAATTTTTGATTGATTGCTACAGTAGCAATTAATCCTATTAAATTACTTTCAGTTTTAATCACAAATGAAAAAATGCATGAATACTTGCTTATACTGTATATACAACAGTAGATCACAATAGTGCAATAGTAGTTGGTACAGATGTTACCATTAACTTATGTTATGTAGTGACACCTTTGAGTTCAATGAAAAAAATGCGTGATGTTTTCATACCTATTTGGATGACTGCTGTCCTTTACTACCTGAGAACATTTCGATTTACATTTTCTCAACAGCAAAAGCGACGCTTTTCCGTGACCCTTTGACCCTTCCAGCCTGTTCTCTACCATTTTAATATCGGAACTGATGGCCCAAGGAGGCAGTTATTGCTGATCCGTCAATAGACAAGTCATCATCCATTCCTCCCCAATGCGACAAATTGTCACCTGGCCCTATAACAAAAGTTGTTGCTAATTCCTTGACTGATACCATTAACTATGTGCCTCCAAAACAGATATACAATCGACTCTGACCCGGATCATTATCCAGAACTCTTCTAACATGCCAACCTCCTCATTTATTCAACCTTCCTAAGGGACATACCAATAAGAAAACTTCTCCTGCATCAGATCTACAAATGGATCCTTCAAACTATAGATATTTATTTCCACATGAGTCTCTCTCTTGCGAAAGGCGACAGTATGTATACCTAATTTAGTTTGTTATATTATAACCCATTAATGAAAATGTTTACTATGTATTCTATTTCACAAATAAATGGTTATTAGTTGTTAACCTGGCCTCCAAGTAATTCACTTCCAGCATGCCATCTCTCTGACCTCCACATGACTCACCACCTCCCAAATCCAATCACCTTTGCATGTGACCGCTCATGTGACCTCACAACAACAGCCCTACTTGATGTGTGGTGTCTTCTGTCCTGATGTGGACATCACCAAAGCGATGGTGACCCTTCGGTCAAGTGGTACGGAAGCCTAGGGGGATGCTTCATGCATTGTTACACACCATTTTTGTCTAACAGTAGATCACAGCTAGTTATAATATAATGAAAGTTGATCAGATCAAAATAACAAAAACACTCTTGTCTTACAGTATCAATTGAATAATACATTAAGCTATAAATATAAAGCTACATAAAACTAAAGGAAATAAATTTATGGTATTATTTAATCAATACAAATAGATACAGTATTACAATGATAGCTCCAATGTTTTTTTATTTAGTTTTCAATGTTCTAAAAATATCTTATTTAGGAGTAACAATCATAGAACAGCAGTTCTCAACTAATGATATACTAACTGTCATAGAACACTTTTTATAAATCTATAATCAGTACAATATTTAAAAAATTAGCAAAGATAATACTGCCAGAAAAGTAATAACTAATATTTTTGAAAAATTATCTTTAACTAATGATAATTTATGTTATAAATATCATAAATGCCCTAGTTTAACCTGGTAACAATAAGTAGTAGACTGATCACAATAACTGGCAAGAATTTGCAGTGGTGCCTGATATTCCAAATTTAATTCATTCCAAGAGACCACTCAAACCCTGAATAAATTTTTTCTATTCTATCTAAACAATACCCATTTCAATAAACTTAAAAACAGCAAATACACATAAATTAAGGTAAAAGTAGCACAATTAAATGCCCCAATAATAAAACATGAAAACAATAAATGAAATACATAAATACTGTATAATAAAATGAAAATTGCATTTACTGGTTGCACACCATTGACTTTGGCACCTTAAACATGGCCACCAGATTTGCCACATATACCACAAATAAGTTCCTTTTTCATCTCAATTGTTGATATTACATCCTTTCACTTATTATGTTGCTTCCACACACTTCTCAGATGCCATGGCTAATAAGTAAAGGTTATATTGGGTTAAACAGAAAGTTTTTGTATTCTTAACAGCTGTCATTACTTAACTCATACTGTTAAGTATAACAGTTATGAAATTTAACACATTATTATAAATGTGAGATAGTATTCATTGTTTAGAAGCTTATTTTAAACTTTTTACTTCTCATTGTGTTTGAATTAATTAAGTTGAAATGTCTTCAGATAAAAGCATATCAGGTATATTATGCTTTAAGAGTTTCAAAAAGGACATAATACCAGACAAATGATAAAAAAAAAATTCCTAATGTATATGGGGATGATGTTTTTAAACTTCAAATATGTCAAATGTGGTGTAAAAGTTCTGTCCAGGAAATTTTGAACCAAAGGATATAAAACATACAGGGTGCCCAAAAACTGTTGACAAAGAAATTTCAGAGAAAAATTGTTAAAAATCAATGAATAGCACAAAATTATATATAACCAAACACCAAAAATAAAGCAAAAAAAGCACTGAAAACATAAGAATGTAAAAAATAACAGGAGTGAGAGATGACTGGGTGCACAACAGATTGTATTTATGCATTGAGCACATTTTTTCAATGCAAATACAGTTTGAACTTTGAAATGAATTTATGTCAAATTTAAGTGTTTGAACTCTAAGCATTCAAAGTTAGAGTTGTTCAAGATACCACTCTATACAGGAAACAACTGGTTTGGGAAAATGGGTTTTGATTATATTAAGTGGCTGATAACATTAACCAGTGATCACAATAAGCAGTTACTACTTTAAAACAAAATCTTGTTCATCAATATGCAATTTACAAAAGTTAAGCAAATTACACAGACTATATTTTTGTACTAGAATTGGATTAAATGACCCAATCCTTTTCAGCTCTGCTTTTGACTAAAAGATCATCCTTTCCATGAATTTGGGTTTATTTTCTGTTGAAATTTTTAGGAAATATCATTTATATCTAGCCATTCAATAAGGTTTCTTATGCTATTACTAGATATGTTTATACAGAATATATCAACATGCCATTATCTAACCATAACAAAAGTTTACCTCATTACACATCTACATTACACATCCCCAGCAATGCTGAATGTTTATACTAGTTTAGGATATTTTGAATTTGGTCTTGTTTAGTCAGACAAATTGATTTCAGATATGAAACTTTTCTGAATTTTTTTATACTGATTCTATAATACAAGAGAGTATATTTTTATAAATTTTTTAACATTTAAAAAAAATTTTTTTTTAATTTTAAATTTTTAAATTTAACATTTTTTAAAATTTTGGAGCAGTATTAAAAATTCAATGTTCAAATAACTGATTGTCTTGTAATATGCAGATAAAATAAGCTTAAAAATATTTATTTTATAGGTAAAGAAATAACAGATACTGAACAACCACTGCCAGTGCCACCATCAGAACCACCAGATGACAAAGGCGATACAGTATGGACAATAAAAAAATTAACTCCATCAGAACAAATACAACTTCAGCGTATGGAAAGAGAACCTCTTATGAAAGCTTGTGATGATGTTAGAAATGAACTTTTTATAGCAGGTGTAAAATTGAAAGTAAGTTGATTAATTTTAAATATTAAATGGTAGATGTTTCTTTAAAACCTGAAATTTTTAAAGAAAAAATTAAATGAGAAACCAATCTGAAATAATGTAAATTCTAATAAGAATTCTGTTATTGAACTTAAATTTTGAAATAAACTATTCTCTCAAAATATTAGAGAATTTGCCATTCCAGAAACCATTTAGTGCATTCATTGTTTATGCAAATAATTACTGCCGTATAGATATTAAAGATTGTTTTCAAAGCAACATGATAACCATATACCCACCATTGTCTGATTTCTGCTCAGAATCTTTATCATGCCATGTGTACAAATTTTAATTTGCAGAATACTAGCATGCCATATTATTATTGGCTACTTTTCAAAGGGTGCTGGAAAACCATACACCATAGACATTTACAGTAATAGTATAGTTTTTTAAATGCTCATAGATAAAGCGTTATTATGTGATAGTATTTTTAAAATTTATTGTGTCTTTTTCAATTGATAGCTTATAAAGTTTTATTTTTAATAATTGAATTAATTAATTAAAATTATTATAAAAAATATTGCATAATTGGAAAAAATACTGACATTGTAACATAAGTATCCATGTGGTGTCTAATAGACTTACAATATAAAAAAAAATTATATATTTTATTAAAATGATTTAGAATGATATTAACAGAAAATATTGGAAACATTTATCATTATTAGAAGACATTAGTGGGAAAAATTGGCTGTGTTGCATAAGTTGAGATGATATAATAATAAATTACAGGTCTATCAGATATCATGTGGCAAAGTTAATAATGTGAATATATTTGTCAATAAAGTTCATTCTTAATTGTAAGAGAGAAAAAGTTGTGCTTGTTTACAAATTTTCTCAGAATAAATACAATTTAATTGAATACCATTGACTTACTTTATTAAAAATAAAGTACCTAATCTATAAAATAAAATAATCTAATCTATATAACCTAATCTATATCAAATTCTCTATTTTCAAATATTGTGTATAGTTCAGTAATTAGAGAGACTATACTTAAAATGAAATTGGGTGAATCATTTCTTATATCTAGGAATAATTTTTGTGATTGTTAGTTCTATGTAATTTCATTTTGTGTGAAACTTAATTTTAATTTCATTGCAGAATAGTCTGTATTAATACAAACTTTGTAAATGTTTGTTTTGTAACATAAAAAGTAAAACTTATGCAAATGAAACCATTTGGTAACCTAAATAAAACAGAATTTTTCAGCATAACATTAACTACGAGGGCTGTTCGAAAAGTTCGCGGCCTTGCCTATATGCGGCGCTGCGATCAATTTAATTTTTGGCGGGAATAATTCAGTCATCCTTGCTAAAGATACGATACCAATTTCCGCTTGATTTGTCATAAAGTTTTGCCACGACAGCTTAGCAGATAGTCAATGTGCACATGCTTTGTCAAAAATGGAGAAGATGGAGACTCGTGCGGTCATAAAATACCTGACGAAAAAAGGGTTGACCGCATCTCAAATCAAAGCTGACATGGATGAAGTTTTGGGAGAGTCTGCTCCTTCGTACACCACTGTGAAAAAATGGACAGCCCTTTTTAAATCTGGCAGAGAGAGTGTGAAACATGACCCTCGCAGCGGACGGCCGTCAACTGCTGTCACTGAAAAAATATCGACAAAGTTTACGATTTGGTGTTAGCAGATCGCCGTTTGAAAACGCGTGAGATAGCTGAGACAACAGGCATCTCTGTCGACCGAGTGCACCACATCCTAACCGAAAATTTGGGTATGACGAAGGTCTCAGCAAGTTGGGTGCCGCATCTGCTGATCGCTGAGCAAAGACGTGTTCGCACTTTGATGTCAAAGGAGTGTTTGGACTTCTATAAGAAAAACCCACGGGATTTTTTGCGTTGGTTTGTGACTACTGACGAAACGTGGATCCATTGCTACACTTTTGAAGCAAAAGAACAGTCGAAGCAATGGAAACACCACAGTTCGCCACCACCAAAGAAGACAAAAAAACAGTTCCATCAGCGGGGAAAGTGATGTCCTCGGTTTTTTTCGGATGCTAAAGGCATCATCTTTATTGACTACCTAGAAAGAGGAAAGACCATCAATGCTGTCTATTACTGTATACTTTTGGAAAAACTGAAGAAAGAAATCGAAGAAAAGAGGACACACTTGAAGAAGAAGGTTCTGTTTTACCACGATAATGCCAGAATCACTGAACAAAAGATGAACGAACTTAACTTCCAATTAGTTCCACATCCACCGTACTCACCTGATTTGGCCCCCCAGTGACTTCCACCTTTTTCCAAATTTAAAATAATTCTTGGTTCGAAAGAGATTTCACTCAAATGACAAAGTCATCTCTGAAGTAAACGAGTATTTTGCACACCTTGACAAATCGACCTATTGTGATGGCATAAAAAAGCTAGAACATCGCTGGAATAAGTGCATTGCTAACAAAGGAGACTACATTGAAAAATAAAAAAAATTTTAACATTATTTTGTTTGTTGTTCTATTTGAGGCCGCGAACTTTCCGAACAGCCCTCGTAAGTCTATTGCAAGTTGTATTAATTTCATATTATGAATATATTACAAAAGTGACAAATTTCTTTTCTGATAAAATATTTAGCAACAATGAGGTTTCATACGCTGTATATTAGTTAGATTCAGTAGAATTAGATAAGAATATTTCGTTACATTTCCTGTTTCCTTTCAATGCATTACTTAATTTTAAAAGTCCTGAAAGAATAGAATGCAATGTACTCGCCATCTGAAAAGAACGGAAATCGAAATTATGACGTTAGATTGAAATTTAAAACCGTCTTCTAATTTTCCTGTAAAAAAGAATTTAATAAATACTTATATGATTATAAACTGAAATAACCTTAAAAGGAATTTTCTTATCCACATCAAAGAAACCACCGATTGAAAGACACAAGGAAACTTTCCCAAATCTCTTCATAAAATCTAAAATCTACAATAAGAAATAAACAATAANTAAGCTATAATAAATATAGCTAAATAAGTAGTTCCGCCATTTTGTAGATTTAAGTTAATACGAATTATTTAGCTAATATATCTGGAGTCGTTATACGAAAGTCCTGAAAGAATAGAATGCAATGTACTCGCCATCTGAAAAGAACGGAAATCGAAATTATGAAGTTACAGTAAAAATTTAAAACTGTCTTACAATTTTCCAGTAAAAAGAATTTAATAAATACTTATATGATTATAAACTGAAATAACCTTAAAAGGAATTTTCTTATCCACATCAAAGAAACCACCGATTGAAAGACACAAGGAAACTTTCCCAAATCTCTTCATAAAATCTAAAATCTACAATAAGAATTGCAGTAAACAGTTGTAAACAATGTTAGTTGATTCAATTTTATTTCAATAAATATTAACCGGTGTTGAAATATATTATTTCTGACCATGTAAAAAATATGGCCCTAATTTATTATATTTTAGCATGTAAGAAGTTATTATAACTTTACAAAGACTCAATTCATCCACTAATGGTTAAAAATATATACCATAAGTTTCTGTTCCAGTTTAAGACTACAATCTGCGAGTTGACGAATATCTTGAAAACCATTCTGCATCTAAAAAGTAAGAAATTAGCTTACGGAAAAATGACTTGTTAACACGAATACTTACCGAAAATGCGAAACAAGACAGTGAACAACCCCAGAGTATAAAGATCAAGGTAAAAAGTATGGAAATAAGTAAAGTAAGTATGTGCATTGATCCGTTCATTTCTAAAAAGAGATAAGCATAAAACCAAAAACTCGTCGACCAGATCACAGAAAAGTACAGCAAGCAAAACGGATGATTAAGTTTAGTATTGAATTGATTGACGAATATCCATAATTCTTGGTGACGTAGCATCAATTTATTTAATATATTCGGCATATTCTTGTGTTTCTTCTTCAATGAGGAGAGTTCAAACATGAGATGTTCAAATTCTTTATAAGCGACCAACAACGATAAAGTTGCTAATAATAAAGCAAATGCAAATCCTCCTATTAGAGGCGTCTGAAGTAAAACATTCATAGTAGTGCATAGCAGTGGTTCGCCTTTAAATTTCTTTTTTCTATTTATTCCGGGATAATAAAAATATACACTCATAAATTGGAAAGAAATAATAAACATCATTGCAAAGAAAGATGTCAACAGGGAAACCTTTCTAAGTGAAGAATTCTTTTCGTTTATCACCTTTTGTTGGAAATATTTATTTTTTAAATCAACTTCTAAATTGATTTTGTTGTCATTTTTCGTAAGAATAGTTAAGCAAATGGAATAAATTAAATCTATTATTGCAAAAGCTATAGTTATTAGTATGGGCTTATTAGTTACATTATCGAATAACCCTTCACATATTGCATATTTATTCAATCCCGGTATTATCTGCCAAAGTAGAATAAAAGTATTTTCCCATAAAATATATTTTACAAATTTAATATATCTATTTTTTAAGTTAAAAATATTTAGCGTGATTACTTCTTTTCTGCAGCTACATATGTTAAAAACATCGAAGCCAAAGATGATAGCCATTCTTAGGCAAGGTTCTAACAAACAAGTCAAACAAATCTCTTCTTGTAAATTAGAATACATATTTCCTGTTGTTTGTTACAAATTATTAGGAAAATTTTGAATTATTAAGTCGTGTTTGCATAAACCATTTCGTCCATGGGACAATATGTTTCTTGATATAATATAATCGTTATTAATTTATGAAGTAATTTACCTGGGAGTGTCTGCCACCATATATCCAACAATTAGAGTTACATTTATATGTTTAGTAGCTTAAAAGTTTGAAATGATGATTCTCTTCTTTGAGATAAGAACGTTGAGAATTTCAGTGATCTTTTATTCTAATATACATTATATTGATTTTAATAGTCAATATGTACATCATACCAAACTTTAAAAAGAATTCTTCTTGCAGATATCCATTAATAAAATAAACATCTTAATAGCACAAATTATCGATATGCATTAATAAAGCAGACACATCTTTATACTTGAAGAGATATTTCGTCCTATTAAACTGTTTAAATAGCGATAATTCACCTTGAATTTTACGATCGCGTGCATTAAATTGATTATTAAATCCATTTTATGAATATGCCTATCAGAATAAAACATGAAAAGAATAATAATATGCATAATGTTACTATCTGAACGAATGCAATTATAATTACCCATTTTTAAATTCCTTAAACACATGACTAAAGTTACGACTATTCATAAGAACACTTCTTACCTTTTAAGATGATTATTTTATTAATGGATATCAAAACATAATGCTTTTATGTTCGCAATATAATATTAAAAATTCAAAGCATATAGTTAAAATATAGCTAAATAATTAGTTCGGCCATTTTGTGGATTTAGGTTAATACGAATTATTTAGCCAATATATCTGAAGTCGTTATACGTAGTCTTGTTAGCTTTTATAGTAATTTGTATGCATTGTATGTAATCTATGTATCTGAATAAATATCTAGTTTATTTATTAGTGGGTTTGTCGTCTTTCCATTTCTGTATCGCCACGACCCCTCCTCCACTCCATGTTATCCCGGTTCTTCCCTCTAAAAAACTAGAATCTCAGCTCAGTTCACTAATAAAATTTTCACAAAGATCACGGTGAGATATTGCAATGTTTAAATACAAAATTAAGTCCTTGTCACACCTACGATATCTTGTAAATTAATAAGATTCATGTACTTATTTCAAGACTTCAAGCATATTTTTACAAAGTTCATAAGACGAATAGTTACACGAAAGTAAATAGAAAAAGTTCATATGAAGAATAAAGAGAACGTTATCTACAGTTCCAGTCTTTATTGAATTTAACACGTTGTATTAGGCACAAAGTAATATTAATATAAAATGAAAACAATCATTATCTCTGATAAAGTACAGTATTAAGTAAATCTCATATTCGTGTAAGAGCGAGAAGTGACAGTCGAAATTTCTATAGTAGAATGACTAAACTCACCAGACTTTTGCAAAATGTTTGAAATTGTGAGCCTAAAAATATCGTGTAAGAAAGATTTCCACATGCAGTTTCGGCAGTTTATCATCTGTGGTGAACCGTTGCTATACTTTAATGAAAACTTTGTGAATCCACTCTGTTACATATACAGTGGAACCCCGGTTAACGAACTTAATCCGTTCCGCGACTCCGTTCGTTAACCGAATTGTTCATTAACCGAAGCAATTTTTCCCATAGAAATTAATGCAAATGCAATTAATCCGTTCCTGTCTCCGAAATTTTTGTAATTTTATTTGTAATATACAACAGATTTTCTTTGATGAAAATGTAGGAAAACGTAGTATCTATCATTACAGCAAGAAACATGTAAACTTTGTTTAATAAACTAGCACTGTACATACCTTCGTTTGTTGTAGTTGGTGGCAGAAAAGTGGAGATATACGAACCTTAATGCTTAGAAGGGGAATCCCCTCCAAAAAATAATGGGTAGCACTTCATTGGAAGATTCTTCGAGTCAAAGTCTTTTTCAGTAAAAAAAACCCACCAGTGGCTAAGCGGTCTTCGTACCCTGAACACGGGGAATACATAAACAAGACAGTCGAAAACAGAAATTCTGATTGAAACTGTGTCAAATCTCTTAATTAATTCTCATATGTCAATAGACATATGAGAATTAATTAAGTCTTGTCAACTAAGTCACAGAGAGTTTGTTTCGGGTCCAATTTAAAGCGAATCCATTGTGTCATTTATTAATTTTAAGGTGCATTTGTATTGTTATTTATTTAAAGAAGTGATAAGCATATAATTGTCAGTAGTATAAATTACCACTATCAATTAATTACATTAATTTATAGTGGTAAGAACTAGCTAGCACTGTTTCCAAAGTCTGAAAGTATCAATTATTTATTATTATTATTAAGTTTCTTTTATATATTAAAAAAGACATAATAATCATAACAATAGAATTTTACTTTTTATCACTTATCGCTGCACAAACCACACTTTTCACGGTTCATTACTGCTCCGATAGTGTTTCTTTACAAACACAGCCGTGCTTACAGCAGAAAAAAATGCCATTTCGTATGTGCTAATCTCATATCTGTGCATTCCACTTGAAGTTTGAAAATCAATTAAGAAGTGAAATGTGAAAGAATTTCGTGCTTCAACATATACGAGGGCTGTTCGAAAAGTTCGCGGCCTTGCCTATATGCGGCGCTGCGATCAATTTAATTTTTGGCGGGAATAATTCAGTCATCCTTGCTAAAGATACGATACCAATTTCCGCTTGATTTGTCATAAAGTTTTGCCACGACAGCTTAGCAGATAGTCAATGTGCACATGCTTTGTCAAAAATGGAGAAGATGGAGACTCGTGCGGTCATAAAATACCTGACGAAAAAAGGGTTGACCGCATCTCAAATCAAAGCTGACATGGATGAAGTTTTGGGAGAGTCTGCTCCTTCGTAAACCACTGTGAAAAAATGGGCAGCCCTTTTTAAATCTGGCAGAGAGAGTGTGAAACATGACCCTCACAGCGGACGGCCGTCAACTGCTGTCACTGAAAAAATATCGACAAAGTTTACGATTTGGTGTTAGCAGATCGCCGTTTGAAAACGCGTGAGATAGCTGAGACAACAGGCATCTCTGTCGACCGAATACACCACATCTAACCGAAAATTTGGGTATGACGAAGGTCTCAGCAAGTTGGGTGTCGCATCTGCTGACCGCCGAGCAAAGACGTGTTCGCACTTTGATGTCAAAGAAGTGTTTGGACTTCTACAAGAAAACCCCACGGGATTTCTTGCGTCGGTTTGTGAATACTGACGAAACATGGATCCATTACTACACACCTGAAACAAAAGAACAGTCGAAGCAATGGAAACACCCCAGTTCGCTACCACCAAAGAAGGCAAAAACAGTTCCATCAGCGGGGAAAGTGATGGCCTCGGTTTTTTGGGGATGCTAAAGGAATCATCTTTATTAACTACCTAGAAAGAGGAAAGACCATTAATACTGTCTATTACTGTATACTTTTGGAAAAACTGAAGAAAGAAATCGAAGAGGCCACACTTGAAGAAGAAGGTTCTATTTCACCACGATAATGCCAGAATCACTGAACAAAAAATAAACGAACTTAGCTTCGAATTAGTTCCACATTCACCGTACTCACCTGATTTGGCCCCTAGTGACTTCCACCTTTTTCCAAATTTAAAATAATTCTTGGTTGGAAAGAGATTCCACTCAAATGACAAAGTCATCTCTGAAGTAAACGAGTATTTTGCACACCTTGACAAATCGACCTATTGTAATGGCATAAAAAAGCTAGAACATCGCTGGAATAAGTGCATTGCTAACAAAGGAGACTACGTTGAAAAATTAAAAAAGTTTTAACATTATTTTGTTTGTTGTTCTATTTGAGGCCGCGAACTTTCCGAACAGCCCTCGTACACTAATAATGGATTTTTTCATACTTTTCGGTTATCCGACTTTTCAATTATCCGACCAACCCCAGTCCCCAATTAGGTCGGATAATCGAGGTTCTACTGTATTAGATTTAGTATTTTTTAAACAGATTTCCTTAGGGCATTACAAAAACATTTTCAGTAAAGTATAACTCTGAAATATTAAACTGTATGTAAGTAAATGTTATACCAACCTCACTAACATATAAATTTCATTATTCTGTATCAATTAGTAAAAAGTTTAGAAATTTCAGTAGCATGTTCCCTTAAAATTCTATTTTAAGGTTTTTAAATGTTATTGATACTTTTTTAATTTGTTTTTAAAAATAAGTTATAAAAATTAAATAAATAAAAAATTTATAAAATTTGTCTCAAGAAAGAAAAAAAAAAGTTAAGAATAAGCATAAAAAATTATTGACATTATGATTCTTAATTAACTAAAGAAAAGCCAATGAAGAATAATTTTTTAAATGACCAAAAAAAATGATTAGAGAGGTTGAGGGACACGTATTCAGCCCAAAATGTGAACAGCAGACAGATGAGCGCCACCATTTGGAAATTCTATATGGTCGATAATGGTGTTTGCTACGTCTAGAATGGCGAGTAGATGATTGGCTTAAACTTCATTTCTTTTTTTTTGTGTTTGGGGTTAAAATTATGATGTATTTTATTAAAATAATGGTTATTTAAGCATATACGAATAATATTGTAAAGAAACATGATTTTAATCCAGAAATTATTTAATTTTCAATTTTTTAACAAGTGATGTGAAATACCTATAGAATTTACATATATTTGCCTTGATAATAGCTTATTGTAAGGTAGGTTTGTTCTTCCATGGCATCTTCTACCATCAACAGCATAATACATGTGTAAATTTCCTAAAAATTAATTTTCCGAGCTGCTTTCGAATTTACATAAGACACTAATTCCCTCAACAAAAGTATGAGGTAGTCCTATCAACTGATCGTACAGTAGGAGACACCATGCTAATTAAAAATAATTATTTACTGTTATTAAACATTCTATAAATACTTCAAAATAGTTTAATTTGTTTATTTACCTTCACTGGTAACCCTCAATGTTAAATCTGCCATTTTTTTTTTACAAATTTCCCATGAGTCAATGCACGATGTTCACTGAGTCACGTGATGTGAATGAGCGCCACAGGGTCTTTTACTTGGACTTAAAATGTCAAATGTGTACTTCTGCTTGCTGTACAAGTTTAATATTTGTACTTGCGTCTCAATCTCTCTATTGTTGTGAATCATTCTGAATAGACTGTGCAGAGCATGAAATGTAAATTTGAAAATTTCCATTTGAAAAATAAAATGCACTTCCAGTTAAAAAATCATTTTGTGTGGTCCATGATGAATTGAAATATGACATATTTATTGTAAGTTTTATAAATTATAAGTAACTATAATAATAATTATTAATATCTAATATCTAAAATTTATATTTTAATACAGACAGGAGCAAAAATAATTATTCGTGGTAAAGGATCAGTTAAAGAAGGAAAAGTTGGCAGAAAAGATGGACAACCACTTCCTGGTGAAGATGAACCGCTGCATGCATTTGTTACTGCTAATAATCCTGAAAGTGTAAAAAAAGCTGTAGATAAGGTTTGTTGAACATTTGTGAAATCAAAACTAATTTTTTATTTTAAGAAATCTTAATTTGTTTTTCAAATAGTAACCAAACTATATGAAAAATTCATTTTATTATAATATTTTAACTATATCAATAGTTATACGAATTCTCTTCAAAAATTTATGGTTTACTGAAACTAAAATATAGAAATTTAAAATTTATTTTCAGATTAAAGAAATTATAAGACAAGGCGTTGAAGTCCCAGAAGGCCAGAATGACCTACGTCGCATGCAGTTGAGGGAACTTGCTTTATTAAATGGTACCTTAAGAGAAAACGATGGACCTCGCTGTACAAATTGTGGTTCATCAACACACAGAAGTTGGCAGTGTCCTGATAAACCAAATGTTACTAATAATGTTATTTGTACTAATTGTGGTGGTGCTGGTCACATTGCAAGAGATTGTCGTGAGAAGAAAGCTGTTCCTGGCCAGTTTGTTAGTACAGAAAAATCTAAGATTGATGAAGAAGTTAGTTATCACATTATTATTATTATTATTATTATGTTGGGTATAATCTGTTGACACTGGTTGCTGTGTGCTATGCCAGACCAGAGTCAAGGCATATCAGCCAAAGCAAAACAAAAAACATTATTTAAAGAACACCTACTTTAGTATTCTTTAATTAATGTTAGCTTTGTTTGTGTATGTTCTGTTAGTTTGGTCTGTTAGAATCCTAAATACTTGTAGAACTCATTTTCTTCCATGGATTCAAACATCTCCAAGTGTAAAATGTCCTTTGGTCAAGACTCCTTTTTCTATGTGAAGTGTTTTGCATTTGTTTAGGCCAAACTCTATTTGTATGTCCTTGGAGTATGAATGTGTATTTTGAAGGAGTTGATAAAGTTGTTTTTGTGTGGGTACATAAAGTTTTATGTCATCCATGTACATGATGTGACAATGTAAACTGTGTTTTTTTTTTTCATGTTAAACAACCATGTTGCATGTTGTTGTTTAACATTGCTAGTTAATGGGTTCAGGGCTAAGCAGAACCAGAGGACTGAAAATATCTTTGAAAAATCCCTTGCCTAATGAATATTTGTTTTGTTTGTATGGAAGTGTTATGAATTGTGAGATGTATTATTGCTGTGTAGTGTTTTGGAAGAATGCAATACTCATGGAGATGGATGTATTTTATAGCTATGTAGAATATGTAGCAGCCAACTGTGTGAAACACTGTCGAATGCTTTCTGTAGTCTATATACACCATATGTATGTTTCTGTGTTGCTTGTGTGCTTGCTGTAGAATGACTGAATCTATAAATAACTATTTTTATTAATATTATTTAAATATATGAATGCTGTAAAATGACTATTTTTTTATACAGTATATGTCCTTAATGGCAGAATTGGGGGAGGCACCTCTTCCACCACCAAAAACAACTCCCACAGCAACATTTCATACTACTACTACTTTGGTAGCAGCTCCAGGAATACCTCGCCCAGTAATGCCACCACCTTCATCACAAACTACACAACCTACAGTGGTATATATTGTTCTTTGTATAGGTGATAGCTTATAATAATAAATTTATTACAAAAGACAATTTAATTTTTAGAGTGCACCAATAGGCTGGACAGGGAATGCTGCTAAACCACCAGGAATGATTGCTGCTACACCACCACCTCTTCAAGCTCAACCACCTGGAATGATGCCACCTCCACCACCTGGAATGGGTCCTCATGGCTTGGCCCCATTACATCCTCAGCCAGGAATGATGCAGTGGCCTCAGCCACCTCAACCTCCAACATCTGTTGCCACATCAGCTGCAGTAGGCACCCTTGCACAGGTTTGTTATATTAACAGTTGAATTTTTTAGATTAAGTTTATGCAATATGTAAAGAAGTTTTTATTGTAATTATCAAAATTTATTGTAAATTTATAAAGTCAAACTAACCATTGCAGTTAACTTAAAGCATACAATACATTTTTAATCGTGAGTTCTTGAATACTTTTAACCCAGTTAACATGCCATCTTCAGGCTTAAAGGACATAGTAATGTCAGTGCAGGATGAAATGCGAAATAGAGTGAATAACCAAAGAGAAGTGAGCTATTATGATATCAGATGGCATGAAATCCTCTTCATCTTCTACACCATCTGCTATCTGTTGATAAATTTTAGTTTTTATTTACATAAAAATAGAATTATGTATTTAATATTTTATCATGCTTTTTAAAAAGTTATTCCAATCATTAGTAATCATTAATTGCTTTCAAATTCCCCCAAAATTAAATCAGTTTTAAATCAATTTGTCTTGTCTTTAATGCTGGATATGAATGAAATTGGCATTTTCTCATACAATTATTAATGTGTGATGATAAATATGGGAAGACTACAAATATGTCTGACATTTAATTTAGTCTTCTGGGACAACATATGCTAACAAAACTAGATCTCACCATCTTTGCAGACTTGTAGATTGTAGTAGATTGTACAGTACATATCATAATCGGATCAACTACTTGTTAGTTTAAGAAACTGTGTAAGTTCGCTGATTTTGGGGGCAATACGTTAATTGCACGTCAGGAAAACCTAGGGTCAAACCGTATGTGGGTGGTGGCGGTAGGAGACAGAGATGACAAGTGTCTTACACGAAAACCGTTTATTTTGACATGAAATTAACTTACATAGTATGAATAACAAAATTTAGGAACGTCGGACGTCGGATGCTGGAGGGTGCCCCGGGGCTTCCTTGATGAAGCGTTCGACGGAGAAGGATGATGTCCTGTGTTCGGATTCACACTCCCTTCCTCCGAGTAGGCGGAGAAGCTTGGATGGACGTGGATGGTAGATGCACGGATGACCTGAAGTCTTCTAGGCACGCGTCTCGGGGAGAATCGGCCTCGTGTCCTTGAGATTCGGGGGGTTTTATAAGATTTTTCCTGAACCTCACCCTTCTGATTGGTCCCCTTCCTCCTCTCTCTTACCCCGATTGGTCACTCTTTTTGTTTCTAGGCGAAATCCGAGACCGATTCGGGTCGGGAAAAGGTCGGAGAGGTGATGACGGTCCTTTAACATTCGCGCTCATATTTTACTCCGTTATATCCCTTTTCTCTGTCATCTTTGAACCCAAATGGTCCACCAGATGTTCTTGTGGCCATTTATCCCCTACCGCATTCTTACTTAACAGATATCCCTTTTGTTCTTAGACCCCCCTTTCTCCCGCTTGCTTCGACCCGATATTTGTTTGCGCGCATCCCGACAAAGCTCTCCCTCTCCCTCTGTCGACATTCCCCCCTGTTATTTATTGTCGCGTCGCGTTTGTTTTACAATTCGAGAAAGTTTTCGTCTCATCTGGGCTTTGTCACTAACACATCCCCTTGACCTGATTCTATCCTCGAAACTTTCTGCTGTTAAAGTTTGTAATTAGTCGAAATTTCGATGCACTTTTACGACCCTCACAACTGGCAGCAACTTCTTTGTTGAAGTGATTTAAAAAAAAGCTTGTGCCCTGATACAAAATGTCATTATATTGAAAAATGAATAAGTTTAACCTGATTATAATGTCATCCATCGGACTGGCAATTCTTTGATGTTATAACAGAGTGTCGTTATCTGCGGGGTCATAATTTCAGTCCCATAAAAAGTACCAAGTGTGTTTAAGAATCTATTATAAAATCCATTCTAATTGAACATCGTATGTATTACCATAAAATTATTTCTTAATGGTAATATAGTGTACTGTATCTATTATGGTAATAATAATTTATTATTATATGTATAAAAGTGCAAACTAAATGTTTAAATCAACTTTATTTACATTATTATGTCTAAGTTTACATTGATGTAATTAAAAATTTCAAAAATTACCTGTTATAAGAAATTTCTATTTGTCTCAACTTTTGATAATGGTGGTACTTCCGGTTTTGAGAATAATGTCGAATCAATAGGCAATAAAAGGTTAAACTAATGTATGCCACTTAAAAAGACCCAATAACAATATTCACTTAAAAAAGTCAGTTATTTTAGATTGTAGGTGTTTTTCACCTAAAAATTGTTTATCAATGTCATTTTCTAAATAATATACTTTATTCATTATTTACGATGAAGTTTTTTGAGACCTGTAAAACATTTTCAATAATTTTATTGCATTATGTGCTTCCCTGGTTGACAGCACTTCATTTCCTCTGTCTGATATTTTATCTTCATCATCATTTTTTTTGTCTAAAGATTTAATTTGATCAACAATATCAGCATCTGTATAAAATAACATGAGTAACTGTGCAGACTAATTGATCGTCACGTTGTTTAAAGATGTGATGAACCTCACCCCACCGAAGTCAGGTGGTGAGAGTACCATCCACAGTCGTTCTAGGAAGTGGACTCTGACCCTAGAAACTGAACACGTAGTATATGTACTGTATTTTCTTTGTTAAATAACATTTGTAATCTAATTTTGTAAATCTGGGAGTGCTTTAAATTTGACATTAAAACAGGATTTTATGTTGTTACAAGTGGGTTTTTTTAACATTATCTAGTATAGTAAAATCATGAGACTGATAAAAATTTCACTTTATACAGTAGAGTCCCGAAAACTCAGCCTAATGTGGACCAAAGGGTGGCCGAGTTTGTGAAAATGCCAGGTTATCAGGAATGGGGTTAAAAAAGAATAAATACGAGTGTTTCCTCAGAAAATACTGCACTGTACTTGTATGTATTGTTTGCTTGAGAACACAACAGAGAATAAACTGCCCAAATACCCTTAAACAAAGGAAAAGTGCATACTTTATGAAGGCATAGAGCCTTCATAAAGTATGCACTTTTATGCAATACTTTAAAGTATTGCTAAAAAGTATTACTTAAAAGTATTGCTAAAAAGTATGCACTTTTTAGCAATACTTTATGAAGGCATAGAGCCTTCAATTTTCATTTTCATGTATTATGAAGGTATCCCCTTATTATGAAGGCATAGAGCCTTCATAATAAGGGGATACCTTCATAATACATGAAAATGAAAATTAATGAATACACAGTGTACTGTAATTTACCTGATAAGACAGACCTCAGAAAAAACTTTGAGGCATAAAGCTGTCTATAATGAAAATTAACTAGTCGACTTTGCAAAAACTGGATACTTTTTTAAAGAAATGCGTAATGTCCTGTTGTCTTCTGCAATGCACTCTGTGTTTTGCTGCTTCATCACAAAGACGATGAAGGAACAGTAAGTCCATTACTTGATGCACCGTGTTGTTCAAAATACTGAAGGGCAGTTTCAACAGCCTTTAGTCCCTCACTATGTGATATTTTAGGAACTTGTATGGCGGAGTCCTCAACATCATCATTTCCGGCATTTTTTTATTCACTGTGACAGCAGCAATAATTTCGGCATTGGACATAATGTCTTGCTCGGTATCGTTCTGGAACCACTGTTCAACGTCATTTTCATCGGCTTCTGCACATCCAGGAACTCTTTTCAGGAGGTCGAGTAAGTTTACATATTCTGCATCATCATGTTAAACAAACTCATTTCCCTTGTGATCAAGGAGTTTTTGCCAGGAACGAACTAGTGTTAATGACTCTAACTTGTTCCAGGCATCTGCCACCCAGCCAACAACATCCAATAGGTTAATTTTAAGTTCTGGATAAGACCTTGACCATCATCATTTGCAGAAAGAAGTGAGAATAACGGCTTGCTCTGAGTTATCCGGACTGCCGGGTTATCAAGTGCCAAGTTTTCGGGACTCTACTGTATTAGGGTTGCTGTTACATCCAATGACATTATAATTGGGTTAAACTGTATATACACACAAACTTTTGACAAGAAAAGATGTTCCAAATGTCTTCCTTTTATTTATGGTCAATCAGAACTTTTATTTTTCTATATACACAAATATTTTATTTTTTTTATGTACTGTACTGTACATTAATAACCTATTTTATACATAATCTGTTTTGTGATTAAAAATTATATATAGATATTTAAATAAATCATTATGCATTTATATATTGTAATATAACATTTTGATTACTTATTGAATGAAAAAATGTTTTTAAGTAACTAGAATAAATGTAAACTAATTGTACTATTAAATTTGATTTTTGGATGAAAAACAGAAATCTGTTGAGTTTACTCTGACATTTAAATAGTACAGGTAACCTCTGTATAACATGGCACTTCTATATCACGGATTCACTCTAACACGGTTTGAGAATTGGGTAAAACCCTCGTACAACATGAAATGTAATAAAAACTATTAAAAGCAAACTTATCTAATTTGAATTTAGGGAAATCCTCATACAAAATAGTTCAATAAACGTGATAAAGCTTTTAAGTGCGAAAGATACCTCATTTGACATTTTTCATTCGAGCCCGTACGTACTATCAGATTTTTCTGCATAATTTTCATGAACTATTAGTACATAAGTATGTAAATTTTCTTTTCCCACCTTCTATCCATACACGTAGTCCTTCTTGAAACTTGTTTCAGTGTTGCCAGATCTTGACACTTCTGCTTTTGTGTTGCCAAATGTTTTTCCCTTGTTCCATACTTGCTTTATTCCATCACTGGTTTTTAGGCATTGAACCACGCTTCTGACCCCTGGGACAATCCACATCTTTACAAGTATACTTTAAGACGTTAATTGTGACTTTTTTTAATACGTATTACTTCTTTATTAAAATTTTCTTAAGATATTTATCTTAATTATGAAAATATAATAGCATGTTTTTTAATTTTTGGAACCTAATCCCCCTTTTCGTATAACATGGATTCGCTTATCACGACAATTTTTAGAACATAACTCCTGTGTTATATGGATGGGGGTTACCTGTATCTGCAATAAATATATATTTACAGTAGACCCCCCTATAACGCTTAGATACGTTCCACGCTAACCGAAAATTACGTTGTAGGAACGATTAAATACATGAGCCAATCGCAGCCCGATAGGTGGGAACTTTACGGACTAAGGCTGTTTGAAAGGTTTTCTTCTATAAAATTAACCGATTCTAGACTAATTCCACTCAACATTTCCAAAATACGTATAATTTTTTGGGAATAATCCGTATAAACTATGCTATAAACAAAAAATTGTAGGATTACTTACACCGTTCGACTACGCCGTTGCTTAAAGCTGGTTTTCATCGCGGAACAGCACACGAAACGACGGCCGCAATTTCTGATAACGAATTTTTCGCAGAAAAATAACTTGACCTTTGGAGACATCATTAATATAAATAATTTTTATGGCCGTTGAATAAGAAGTGTTTCTTTCACAAGAAATGTATAAAATTAGTGCTGTATTAGACTTACGGTACCTAATTTACATACTGTGCAGACGATAATAAACTCAACTTACTAGCCTAAAATCTCCGTAGCGTGTTGCCAGGCGGCAGAAAGCATATATATAATTATAATAAAGTTACAATAAATTAAGTTAATATATAATTATATATACAGTACCTAATTTATATATAATTAATATATAATTATATGTACAGTACCTAATTTATATATAATTTATATATAATACTAAACAGACGATAGCAAACTCAATTTAGCCGCTCCGTAGCGTGGCGCAGGGTCGGAGGTAAGTAGTTCGGCTGCTCATCCACTATTGGTCCAGACTATCAATCTTCTCGCGAAATGACGTTATAGGAGGTACGTTATACGAAAGTTGCTACAATTTTTTCGCTACGTTATAGGAATTGTCGTTATAGGAACGTACGTTATAGGGGGGTCGACTGTATTTCCTTTTTGAAAAGATGATATTTAAAAATTATAATATCTTATTGTATTTTATACTGATGGGAGTAAGAGTTAAAACTTAATGTCATTAACTACTGATAAATAAGAGAATTATTTTTATTTTTAGCCAACTTTAGGACTTCAAGCAGTTCCTCCACCGCCACAACTTTTAGCGCAACCTCCACCTCCACCACCACCTCCAAATAGTCAGCCTCCAATACCTTCTACTTTGCCATGGTTAGCTCCTCAACCGACACAAGGTAAGGTGATGTATTTATTATTTCTTACAATCTATATTCATTCTTTTTATTCACATTACTTTTCTTGAATCATTAAGAAAATATTTGTTTGTATAATTGTTTAATCTTAATAGCTACTAGAAATTACATATATGTATTTAATGAGTAACAAAATTGGTCAGATAAAGTTAGTATTCAGAACAATTTAATACTTTGAGTCACACACACAATGTTTTTAAAACTTAAGCATAAGTATTTTTTAATGATGATTTGAGAAAAGGCAATCTTTTTCATCAGTTTCCTGAATGTTTATAGTTAAATAGATATGACCTACATTGCCAATAAGCATATACTAAAATATAGTTCAGCAGCTCAGAAATGACATTTTTATATTTAAGGAGTAAAAAATTCTACTATTATGTTAAAATAACCAAAAATAAATTTATCTAAAAGAAACTTGAAGATTACTTCTGTAAATATAATAATTTTTATTACTGTATGTGATAAAAATACAGTAATAAAATGTTCCTCTGTTTCATAAATTTTAAAATACAAACTTAATGCTGACATTTTTTCTTGTATTACTGGCTGTATTTTCTATACAGTAATATTTACAAAGTCACTTTACAAATATCTGAATATTTGTGCGATAAGATTTCTTAGCTGGAAGATGATTATAGGCTTTCAGTGTGTGAAATAATTGGTATTCATGCTATGTTTTTAAAAAATTGTAATGTTTTTCATATGTAGATAATATCCTATGCATTATGAAAATTCTGTAATGCATCTTACATGTTGTATTATGGTAAAATAATATCTGCTTAAATTATAGCAGTGTTTTTGATTGTTAGCTGAATCATTGAATGAATGGAAAAACTTTCTTGTGAAACTGACTTTCATTTATAAATTAAAATAAATTGCACAATTTTGAAACAATAAATGTACAAAAGCAATGTAGTCCTTGGTCTGGTTTGATGTGAAATGTTTCCATTTCATTATGTTTCATTGAAGCCCAATGTATATAAAAAAAATGTTTTCTATGTATCTTTTTTTCCCCATAGTGGGAAAATTGCAGATCCTGTTCTCTTTCAGGATTTTAGGCAGCTAGTGTGTTGCACAATATGTTACCCACTGTGGTTTATTATTATTGAGACTAGAAAAGAAACCAAATAAAAAATGTTTCAGAAATGGAAAACAAAGAATATTACTCACTGATTTTTAATTAAAAAAAAAATACTGTAGCTGAAAAAGGGCCTTGGAAATTAGCTGTTCAAATTTTTTAATGTAATGGTCAAGCTATTTCACTGCATATTGTGCACCATTGCTCTGAAAAAGGTTCTCAAAATTTTTTGCAACACTGTCCATTTCTTTAGACTTAGACAGGTTGATTAATTCAATTAATATCAATATGGCATAAATTATGAGAATGGAAAATGCATAATTAAGTGCAGAGGAGCTGAAACAATCTATTTTATCATCTTTTCATTTATATACAGTTGATGTGATTTTTGTACTTGTTCTTCATACCATATTTTTCAACACATCAGTTTTATAATGTACAAAAACATAAATTAATAGCAGACAACTATTTTGCACTTCCCAGACACTAGATATTTAGGGAGGCATGGCCCTCGCTCATTTAAACACCAACAGAGTAAGGAAGTAAGTCTAATGCATATTTCAGTTTCTGATAATAATGTGTACAATATTGTTTCCCTTTGCTTGCTAGTGTCTAGAATGAAAGGGAGAATTTTTACGAAGATAAATAGAATCAAGTTTCTGGTTATAACATGCAAAGGCACGTGTTGGACCAAAAACATGTTTTAACAAATATTTTTTTTCAGTACTCATTTATTTATTAAAAAGAAGACTATTAAAAGTGTATAATTTTTTCTAACACCAAAGTAAGTAACAAAATCTAGATCGTTCTTAACAGTATTTTCTGATATGCAGTAAGTATTTTAATATTAGTTCTATGCTAAGTATCAGTTAACGCATTATATAAAAATATTAAATGTAAAATATTTTTTGCAGGTGTTACAGCAGCATCGGTGGCACCTTGGCAACCGCAGCAGCCACCCGCCATGGTCACCGCCCCACTACCGGTACCTCCGCCTCCGGCGCCCGTCTTTCCCTGGGGAGGATATGTGGGAGTACCCCCTCCGCCCCCGGCCCAGCCCACCATGCCGCCGGGATTGGGAATACCTCCTCCTCCGCCGCCGGGAAGCACTCCACTTCCTCCGGCCACGGCGGCCGCCGTCACCACCACGGCCACTTCGAGTGCCCAGAGCGTGGATCTAACGGTCCTGGCCCAGGCCGTGCCCACATTGCTGGCCGCCCCTCCCCCGCCTCCTCCCAGTTAAAAATCCACGCTGGTCGTCTCTTTCGCCCGTTTATCTTCGTTATCTGTATATCTGCAGTGTTGTGCCACCCTCACTTATTTTCACTTTTAAAAATTCTCGTCCGACTTCGAATCTGTATTATCGATTATCAAATAAAACAAGTGAAACGAAACTTTTGGTAAATAACAAATTGTTTCTTTATTGGCGGTAAATAATTGTTTAAAAAATCCGATGATGATAATGTTGGCACGTGGACGTTACTCGGCTTTCTTCTGGTCGACGTCGTAACAGCAGTTGAGAAAAGCGGTGGCCAGTTCAGCCACGATCGATCGATCCGGAATACTTTGAGCTACGCCGTACATTGCAGCCTGTAATAAAGCAAAAAATAATTTTAATTTCAAGATCTGGTCACCTAATCTAACCAATCTTCTTTTAAACTCACCAGTTAACGATTTAATTAATAACGTTGCTTCTCGATAACCGGATTTTTGAAATTTATCGAATAACCTAACCTGTTCATGCAAGCAGCTCTCCATCAGTACAGTACTAGGTGTTATGAGATTTTTGATAATTGCGCTAGTACATTCCGACAAACATAATAAGTTTGAACCAACACAATTGTGTAAATAATGCTGCTAATAAAAAAATACCGTTAAGTAAAATTATAAGGTATCCATCTCCATCAGTAAACTATCAAGTTTTTAAAATGTAAATAAATTTGGTGTAACAAAATTTATTTCACGGTTCGATAGTTTAGAAATTTTGTGGAAGTATTTAATTATCATTTTTTTTTAACGATTGTATGAGGATCGTTCATTATCAACTCCTCTCTGGGCCCTTAGTCTCGAGTTTTTCGTGCAACAACTCTCAACGTGTTGAAGGTGTCACGTGGTACCATCTCACACACTGACGTCAAATTGGTAGTCTCGAGTTCTAACTCACGTGCTTTCCCATCTCACCATGCGAGTTGCTACTCACGTTGAGTCGAGCATGTGAGATCGCTACACGAAAGTGAAAATGGCTGACGGATACGTAATTCTTATGGCTATCGAAGAATTAGAAAGAGCCGAAAGACGTTGTTTGAGAAGACAACGAATTTTTCGACCACGAGTAGATGACATTTCTTTTCGTGTCAAGTCAATAATAATAAAATTATACAGCAAATTTTTCCAAAAATAAAAAGAAGTATCTAATTAATCGAAAAAGAGTATTAATTAAAATGATAGTAAATTATATGTATAAATTATTAAAAGCGTAGACACTATATTAAGATTATTAATCAGAAGTGTTAAGTTATAATTAATAAATAATCTTAATAGACAAAACAATTTAAGAAATAGATCGAGGAAGAAAACTGTATGAAGAAAGGATTAAATTAAAATCGTTATGTAATGGAAAAAGTGATTTTTTAGCTCCAACACACGCGATTAATTTTTCAACTAATTCTCTTCATAAAGTGAATTGTATTTCTTGAAAATTTGTTGTCGAATTTTTTACTGTTAATTTTCTTATTTTTTACATATGTTACTAATATTTATTTTTGTTCTTCGCTTATTTTTTAAAATAAAACATTAGAGGTTTCATTTTGTTTCTGCGTACTATATTGCTATAAGACAACTTTTAACTGTAGACGTGTAAACTAATTCACGTTGATTTGTTTACAACTTGTTACACTCAAGTTGATTGGTCGAATCAGTATAGTCGCAAACCCAGATGCATTGTAAATAATCCCATCGTGCTACACGACACACGGAACCAAGTGAGTATGACGTATTTCCGCTCGCCTTTCGAGTTCGCTCGAAAGGTCTAACTCGAGACTACCGACTATGTGAGTCATAGGGTGCGTTTACTTCTGAGCTAATAGCGCTACTTCCGAACACCGGAAGTGACGTCATTAGCACGTGTATTCGTGCTTACATGTCTAGTTCGAAAGTAAACGCGAACGCTAACAAGAAATATGGCGGTTTCCTGCAAATAATATTGTCAAAGCTGCTATTTTAAATGTTACGTTACAGATATAACTACTTGATTCCGAATCGGACGAGGATGATTTTATTGTGGATATAATTGTAGAAAAATGAAAAAAGAAAAGTAAGGTAAAATAAAAAAGATAGAAACTTTTATCGAAGAGACTCTACCTTTTTATAAGCCAACCGATTTTAAACAACCTTAGACTTACAAGAGAATGTTTTGAAATTCTCCTCTAAAAAATAAGCCCAATTATAGACACCGAAAAATTACTTCCTCTGGAAGACGACCCATATCTCCTCAAAAGCAGCTTTTACGCTGTCTATGGACATTGGCAAATCAAGAATCATTCGGGTTTGTTTATACGAAGTAATATATGAAATTAGATGCAGTTTATAAGAGAATAGTAGATTATACATACGTATAATACATATTTAAAGCAATTGTTTTATCCAGTGAATGGATGTGACGTTGTTTTCTTGTGGTGTAACCAAACCGAGTTCAAAATTAACAAATAATTGATATTAAATACAAAATACTTCTTTCTTTCCTCTAAGGGTATTGGCGATCGTTTTAATATGTATAGACGGACCGCGTGGAATATTTTAAATAAAGTTGTTAATTCTTTCTTACAAGTTAGTGTTAAATGAAAAATGATCTCTCGGCCAACACACAGCAGGATGATGTAAGAATAATGGAATTTTTTATACCCAATCTGGTTTTCCTGGAATTAGAGGCTCTATTGATGAAAAGCGTGTGGCTATTAAGAAATCAACTGAAGAAGCAGTAGCCTATTTCAATAGAAATAAGTATTACTCTGTCATCATATAAGTTTAGTTTGTAATGAAAAAATGGTATTCAAATGATACAATTTCTTAAGAAGTCATTTCCCATATGTAAGTGAAAATTCATTCGATTATACAAACTTATGTAATTTTGGATTATTATTAATGCTGTTCGTTTCTTTACGATTTATTTAATGCTCCGAACGTAACATTTCTGAAGATTCCAAATGCGTATTAGGTAAACCTCACTTTTAATCGTAAACAATGAATCGAACTTAAATTTTTTCACATTAATTAACTCTGTTTATGAAAAAAAGTCATCTAAAGCTATTGAACCTTACAATGAAAAAAAGATCATTGTAAACATTTTACACAACAAATAATTGAAATTTACCAATAAAGATACTTTCTGCCGTTTATTTTTCGAAAACTAATTCCATTTTTAGTAATTTGTACAGAAAGTAATTTTTTCACGAGAGCAGCCATATTGAATTAGCGAAAAGCTCGATAACGAACTAGCTAGCACTCCGAGCTTACCAATTTCGCTAAACACGACGTCACATAGCTCTAAAGTAAACGCCAATGAGCATGGCACTCAGACGAAAGTATACAGGCTGAGCGTGCTGATAGTAAAATTAGCTCAGAAGTAAACGCACCCATAGTAACACGAGTGAGTTCGATGACGTCAGTTCGAGTACAACACGAAAAACTCGAGACTAAGGGCCCTGGCGGTGGTGGAGAGAAACGCGCCGAAACTGTTGCAGTTAATAAGATAGACTATGGAGACAAATAATACAAAATGTATTTTCCTTATGATAATAGAATACTAGCAAAAACACTGAAATTATTGAACAGTGTCTATATATCAGTTTATTTGCATCCGCGAAATGTTTGATAAAACCGAGTATACCTCGCTAAAATGGCGGGTTAGGTTGGAAACCACCCTAAGGCGAACACAGCCCGTGCATATAAATGCCCAAGAACATTTACACTCTTTAGACTAGTGCTATTATGCACACCGTAAAATAAAGAAGGTGCAAAAGTAAAACTCAAAGCCCAACAAGGTGACAGAGAATAATAAACACGAATATAGTGGAAAGATTAATCATCAGGCGTATGTTGCTTTAAGGCACTTTTCAATGTGACGACGATAATCTTATTTTCAACTCGGACAATTGAATGTAAATTTTATAATGTGCAGTAGACAAATAGCTAGACAGGCATTTGCCTATAACTAGACATTTGCCTATAACTAAATTTTATAATGTGCAGTAGATTGATAACTAGACAGGCATTTGCCTAAAATCCGCTATTTTCCCCTTAGTACAAAATCTTAGCCATGTATATATCAATATATGCTAACTACTATAGTGAACATTTCTTCGATATCAAAAAACTTCTGGCCACTTTAGCGGACAATGCAGTTTGTGTAACTAAAGCCAAGAAAATTTTGAATGACATTTTTGTTCATAAGTTGATGTATTGATACATCAAGTGTTATTTCACATTCATTGCAGATACTATTACTGCTCTTGAAAATAGTGGGAAACCTATATATGAACAAATTGATCTCTTCAACAGAGCAAACCAGAAACTTTGTGATGCACCAGCCACTGCTGCAAAAAAAGTGAAGAAAGAGTTGAAAGCAGTGCTTCAAAAGAGACTTGGATTAAAGTGAATGTTTATTGTGGCTGATATTTTGGCAAGAAAGAGGAGCAAAAGTGAAATCCCAGTTCATCTTCCAAGGTTGAAATGTCCGTTATCTTCAGATGTGGAACACATCTACTGAAGATAATGGATTATACGCTCTTTCTCTGCATATAAATTAATTCTCAGTGAAAAAACGTTGCAACTTTTCTATTGAAAATTTGGAAAAAGTGCTTGTAATATCTTATGAAGCTAATTATGGGAAACAGAGCGAATAAAAAATGTAAAGATAATTGTTTGTCTACTTTTGTGTTTGCATCATTCTGAATACGTGCATTTTTGTTTGGAATACATATGTTAAATAAAAAATTCATCGTCCTGATAAATACGTTAATTGTTCATTATGCAAATTTTGACCGCTTATTTTTTTGTTTATAAAGCCTAAACGATGCAATTTAAGAGCCTAAAACTCCACTTTTAAGGGCCTATATGTCCGCTGTCTAGTGATAACTCTTCAAATTGAGAAATGGCGAACTTTATGAAACCGAATAACAAATTCAAAATACCAGAGTCGTGTTTACACTTAAAGCCCTAGGCCAACATACGACCCGCGGGCCGGATCCAGCCTGTCTAATGAATTTATGTGGCCTGCGATCAATCTTTCAATATTAACTATTCAAGTCCGAATAGCTCGATGAAAAATTCTGACGCCTAAAAAAACAAGGTCAACAACTCATTGTGCATTTAGATTTAACCCTCCATTACAAATCTCTTAAGTACAGCGTAGAATGTTGAAAAAGCACGATAATGTGAAAAATGTATCTGTAATATCTATGTAGAATTTAGTCTCTACGGGGTGACACTACAATGAGATCTCGCACCACCTCAAAATCTTCCTAGGGCAGCCTCTGGTTCGGCCCGTGGAAAAAATTTTCTTTTCAATTCGGCCCGGGGGCAAAAACTGTTTG